TCACCCACAAAATGTACAGTCAACTCACTTAACACTATATTCTGTGAAACGCTTTGAGATGTCTTGAATATGTGATAAGGCGCTATATCAAATACAAGGATTATTATTATTAACATGTGATTGGTGGTGGGATAGTGGGTAACCAGCTACAGCTCTGAAGGAGAAAAGAGAATAGCGAGGCGAAAAGAGAATAATCTCTAGCAGGATTAGTTATGGTGACTGACTAGACATGATTAGGTCGGTGTATGGTTTTTCAATTACAGATGCTGGGTATCACAGGGAATATAAGGGTATGTAAGTAGGATATATAAATGTACCTATGAACATTGTTTCTGAAGACCGGAGGAGAGGGGTAGGAGATGATCAGAGAGATAAGGAAGTGCTAGGGCGTGAATGGATTCATAGGTGAGGGTGACCTTGAAAAAGTGTGTGGTTTGGTGCTGGTGAGGATGCAGGCTGTAGCAGTTTGGAGAAACTGGAGCTTATGCACGGTGGAACTATTGAAAGCAACGAGGAGTGTTTCAGATAAGTCTAAGCAAAAACAACTTCACCAATAGCTTGTATTTATATAGTGCCGTTCACATGGGTGGTGTCTTGGAGAGCTGCACAATGGCATAGTTTGACACCGCGCAGTAGAGAAAGGGGAGATGACCGATGGTAGGAAAGCAGGAGTAACAAAGGCGTTGTAAAGTAATTAAGACGACAATACATTCTTTCCCTTATTGTGTGTGTTTGCCCTCCTCTTTCCCTGACTCATATGGCAGACAGTTCACTGGTCGACAATCACCTTCTCTAAGCAACCATTCATTACTTGTGGACCCATGTACTCAGTGAGTGTAATCCTGTCTACTTCAGATACTCACAAACGTACTCTCTCGAGCAGGTGCCACTGGATAGTTATCAGGAGCAGAAACCTGACTTTATTTTGTTCCCCTTCCATGCCTAGCCCCAGAGATACAGGCCCCTATTGAGGCACACCTTTCTGCCACCCCCAGTTCAGCACAGAAGCTGAAGACTTCAATGTCTGAATGACTGACTCGGTTTACCAGCTGAGCTTGTTGGCTAGTCACATTCCAAGTGCAAAAATCATTCACAACACCCATATTACACAGACAATGACCTTTATGCATGATAACTTTTGAGAAAAATAACCATCCTTAACTTAGTTTCCAACAAATTATATAGATTCAGTATTGAAATATAGAATCATAGTATATTACAGCACAGCAGGAGCCATTCGGCCCATCGTGCCTGTGCCAACTCTTTGGAAGAGCTACCTAATCAGATCCACTCCCCCACTCTTTCGCCATATCCTCGCAATTTTTTCCTTTTCAAGTAACTATCTAATTCTCTTTTGAAAGTTGTTATTGAATCTGTTTCCACCGCCCTTTCAGGCAGTACATTCCAGACCGTAACAACTCTCTGTGTAAAAAAATTCTCCTCATCTCTCCTTTGGTTTTTTTGTCAAGTACAATATGTAATGTGTCGGCCTGGCTCAATTGTTAGCACTCTCATCTCCGAGTAGGAAGTTTGTGGGTTCAAACCCAAAGTCAGGACTTTTAACTCAATTTGGATGAGACGTTAAACTGAGGTCCCATCTGCCCGTTCACCTGAACCGTTAAAGATCCCGTGGCTAAGTGAGAAATTATCGCAACTCTAATAGATTCCACATATTTTTCTTCCTACCTTCTCACTCTCCCATACTCAGAACATGACAGAGAGAGAGAAATATAAGTAGAAACAAAGGTTATATTCCAAAGGAAAATTCTTGTCCATGATTTTTGATTAATTAAGTTATAAACATTGTTATCTTAGCTCTATTTGTTTCTATCCACGTGACGACAACAGATCATCTATGTTCACCCACAAATGTACAAAGTCACTACACTTTACAGCAAAAATCCTGTGAAGCGCTTTGAAATGTTTCGACGATGTGATAAGGCTCTACGTCAAATGCAAGCATCGTTATTAGAATCTGCCAAAAATAATAGGATGGAATCCTTTTCCTCCTCATATGGTACTCTATGTCCTTAGGATATTATTTGTGGGGTGATGGGGAAGAAGGCAAGAAAACATAGTTTCTGAATTAACTAGAATTGAAAAAAGGGAATGAATAAAATAAGAATTTGAGATGCAAGTTGTCCATCCTCCGTGCAACATGTCAGCAAAGTGAGCTTCATGACGACAACAACAACTTGCATTTATATAGCGTCCCTCACGCAGGTTAGTGTCCCGTAGCACTTGACAGTTACATGTTGTGAAATAATTTCGCAATTTCTTAGATACTTTGCTGAAAATGTCTCTTGTGTGTGAGCATGGGCAGAGAGAGAGAGAGAGCTATCAAATTAAAACAAGTGAGAAACAGCCTGTTGCTGCGTCTGAAAAAAAGACATTTGAGAGGATTCATGTCACAATAGGTGCAGAACACAACAACTTACGTTTATATAGCGCCCCTCACGCAAGGTAGTGTCCCTGAATGCTTGACAGTGGTGGAGCATGATGCTGAGCCTGGGGGAGGTGACCGTAGGCACGGTCAAAGAGGAAGGTCTTCAGACGTGACCTGAAGATGGGGAAGGAGAGGGCAGGGCGGAGGGATAGAGGAAAAGTGTTCCAGAGTTTCGGGGCGTGGTGGCTGAAAGCGCGGCCCTAAATACATTCATGGAGGAAATTTTTCGTTTAAAAAAANATCAGAGATGTTTTCCTTGCGTTCATTATTAGTAATGTTAGAAATCAGTTATTTCCACCAGCCACAGAAAGGCACAAGCTGTGCTAGAAGAGCGAAACAAATGCTTTTTAGCAATGATAACCTGATACTTGGAAATCACAGCTGTGAGCCTGGCTGGGTCTGTATTAGAAAAGCCTGGGATAATATACACATGAAATAAAAGAGAGCGGGCTGATGAGATCCCGGTATGTTAGTATTCAGATAAAGGAACACAATGGGGCCTTTATTTTGTTCTGGGAATGAAGGAAATGACTGACTAGATAAAAGCGAAAGGCAGAAAAGAACAAAAAGGAGAAATGAAAATGCGATCAAAAGGAAAAAGTATTAAAATGCGCCTGAGATGGGGGTTAATTGCACTAATCATCCGTGCAACATTAATTAATTTGCCTGCAAGTGGTGTGACTGTTGATCGACATGTTATGTAATCTGTGTTGTGTGGATCTCTGACTCCCCCCCCCCCCCCCCCCACACACCCACCTTTCCTTATGCAAACACTTTTCACTGAATACAACGATTGATGATTTCTTTCCCTGCCTTGTCCTGACCACTCACTATCCTGAATGAGAGCGAAACTTCTCTCTCTCCCTCTTTCTCTCTCTCTCTGAATTTGTGTGAGCCCAGGGACTGATTATCTATTTTTCTGCCTGTGTCTGGCTGCTCTCTGCCCTCACTGGAAAGGAAACTTGCTCTCTCCGGCCCTCCCTCTCTTCTATGTGCATTGTGTTCAATGTGGATCTCCTGCACATTTTGCAATGAAGCCAGCGATGGGTGACCTCTTTCCTAGTCTGTGCCTGAACATCCTTTGTCCTGAATAAGAAACCTCTCTCTCTCTCTCTGTAAATTGTGTTCATTTGCAAGTACTCTCTATAAAGTCAGAGTTTGGAGATGTCTTTCCCTGGCAGTACTGGCTGCTATGCCCTCACTGATAGGGAACGCCCGGCCCCCCTCTCTCTCTCTGAGAATGTTTTTCCTTATAAATGATCAGCAAACACTCTGGAATAAAACTAGGAGATGGCTTCCCCTGCCTGTACTGCCTGCTCTGTCCTCACTGAGAGGAAAACTTAACAAATAATCCTTGCATTTAATATAGTGTCTTATCACGTCTTCGAGGCATCACAAAGCGCTTTGCAGAATATTGTAAAGTGAATTTTTGTGGGCAAAACTCTCTCTCTTTCTCTGTGAGTTGTGATGAGTGTAGCTCATCTGCAAACACATTGTAATAACCCAAGGACTGATGGCGATCTCTTCCCGCCTGTAGCGAGCCGCTCTCTTGATTTGAATCTCTCTCTCTGAATTGTGGTCGGCGTAGCTCATGTGCAAACACTCTGTATGTAGTAAAGCCGGGGACTCGGATCTCTTCCTCTGCCTGTACTTGGCTGCAACAGGCAACTCCTCACTTGAGTTGGGAACTCTCTCTCTCTCCCCCCTCTCCTCTCTGTGTGTGAATCGGTCAGTCCGGCCGATCTCCAAACACCGATGGATGGCCTCTTATTTCCCGCCCCCCCCCTCCCACCCCCCGGCTGTACCTCGCTGCTCTGTAGCGCTCTGCGTCCTGTGCACAGAAAAGATGGGGTCACTCAACCTCCCTGGATGTTTGTGGGGGGTGGGTGGTGGTGGTGGTGGTGGGGGGGGGGGGTGAGGTGAGGTTCGCGGCCGCGCGCGATCCCTCTGCCGGGTCTCGCCCACCACGCGGGGGTGTGGGTGGGGGGTGGGGGGAGTCGGTTCGCTCCGCAGCGTCTCCCGCGAAGCGCTCCGAGGGACGTCTGGGAGAAGCGACGGGGAGGAGCTGTATCAAATGCAAGGATTATGATGATGATAAATTGCCATCATCCTCTCCCTCTCCCTCTGTGTGTGTGTGTGTGTGTGTGAATGGTGGTCAGTGTGGCCCCATCAGTGAACACTCAGAGGGCTGTGCTGTGTGTGTGTGTTGTGTTGCGTTGTGTGTGTGTCGATTCCTTCCGCGCTGTTGTGCGATGACGTGATTGGCATCGACGCCGCTTTCCATGACAACGGGGGGGGGCCCCGGCCAATGGCCAGCCGCTCCCACCTGCCCATCATCGCGCCCCTTTGTTGCGTCAGCAGGCGAGCCAATGGGAGGGGCGGCGGCGGCGGCGGGCGGCGCCGCGACACCGAGCGGCGGCCAATGGGGGAAGGGGTGCCGGGCCGCGGGCTGGGCGGGGCCAGGGCGGCGATTGGTCAGAGGAGGGAGGTTAAAAAAAAGGGGGGCGTGTCCGGAAGGCCCCTCCCCCCTCCGGAGTGACGCCCACATGGGTGGGGGGAGGGGGCGGGGCTCAGGCTCAGGCGCTCGGACCCAGCAGCTGATCCCACGTGTGAGGCTGAGCTCCTTCCCGGCTGTGAGTCCATTCTGCGAGCGGGGCTGAGCCGGGGCTGAGCCGGAGCCGGGGCTCTTCTCTTTAGTCGGTAGCGATAGACACAGTGATGGAGGCAGACGGTAGCCAAGCCACCTCCGGTAGCCCCAGCGACTCGCAGCACGACCCGGGGTAAGTCAGGTCAGGTCCCCCCCCCCAACCCAACACCCCCCCAACCCAACACCCCCCACCCAACCCCAACCACACCCCCCAACCCAACACCCCCCAACCCAACCCCCCCAACCCAACACCCCCCCAACCCAACACCCCCCCAACCCAACACCCCCCCCAACCCAACACCCCCCACCCAACACCCCCAACCCAACACCCCCCCAACCCAACACCCCCCAACCCAACACCCCCCAACCCAACACCCCCCCACCCAACACCCCCCCAACCCAACACCCCCCCAACCCAACACCCCCCAACCCAACACCCCCCCACCCAACACCCCCCCAACCCAACACCCCCCCAACCCAACACCCCCCAACCCAACACCCCCAACCCAACACCCCCCAACCCAACACCCCCCATCGCACTCTGTCTGTAATTCCTTTTTAATTCACTTTCTATTTCAATGTGACTCTTTCTCTCTCTCTCTCTCCCCTCTCTTTCTCCCTCTCTCTCTCTCCCCCCCTCACTCTCCCTCTCCCCCCCTCACTCTCCCTCCCCCCCTCTCTCTCTCTCTCTCTCTCTTTCTCTCTGTCTTTCTTTTTCCTTTAGTCGCAGCTTTTTGATCTTTTTTCTGCCTCTTCTTTTTCCGAGTGTTTTCTTCGCAGCTTTTAGTGGGTTTGTTTTTGCACACGTATGTTATGTAGGGCAATCGGCAGTAGAGTGACCGGGCCTGTCTGTCTGTCTCTCTCTCCCCCCCCCACTTCAATACACAATAACCCCCCCCTCTCTTTCTTCTCTCTCTCTCTCTCTCTCCTTGCTCGATCTCTCTCTCTCCCCTCTCCCCCCTCTCTCTCTCTCTCTCCTTTTTAGCTGTAAGTTACACGTCAAAATGGCCGATCTGACATCTGTGCTCACTTCTGTCGTGTTTTCTCCTAGTAAAATGTTCATCGGCGGCCTGAGCTGGCAGACCTCCCCAGGTAAGAGAGAGAGAGTGGGAGAGAGTGAGTGAGAGAGAGAGAGAGAGAGCCCGAGAGAAAGTCTTTCTCTCTCTGTCTCTCCTTCCTTTTTTTTTAAATTCCCAGCGCTTTTTTTTTTGTGTGTGTGTGTGTTTGTTTATTTATTTATGGGGGGGGGGGGAGAAAATAAAGAGAGAGAGAGAGGGATGGGGTGATGGTGGTGGTGGTGGGTGGGGGGGAAGCCAACAGCAGGAAGAAGCAAGTGGCGAATGTGAGCCATCTCTCTCTCTGTCTGTCTCTCTCTCTCTCTCGGTCTCTTTTATTTTAGTTGCAGTGTTTTTCACAAGGTTGTGTTGTACAGGATATCTGGCGGGGGGGCGGGTTATTGTGATGGTACAGTGTAACATCATGGAGTTGCTCGGGTCCTCCAGACGACCCCTAACGCGCCTTTACATAGGGGTTTGGGATTGAATCTGGTGGTGTGGGGGGGGGGGGGTGTGGGGTGTGTGGGGGGGAGACCCCCCGTCGCCGTGCCCTGTGAGACTGATATTTGTGCGGGTTGTTGTTTTTTTGTTGTTATTTTTTGCCCCTTTTTTTCCCCCCTCCTTCCTCTAAAACGTTCTCTCTCTCTCTCTCTCTCTCTCACAGATAGCCTTAGGGACTATTTTAGCAAATTTGGCGAAATCAGAGAATGTATGGTCATGAGAGACCCGACCACAAAGCGATCCAGGTAAGGGGTGGGGGGGGGGGGTTACTTTTGTTTTCATCTCTCTCTCACTCTATAATATATATGTGTATTATATGTACATCTATATCATATATATATATATATATACGATCGCATCTATTTTTTTAATTAAAAAAAACGCACAGAAAACGTGTGTGTTGTGTGTCTGTGGTTTCAAACAAAAGCGATCGATTGAAAATAAGTTTGCTATCGATTTGAGATTGTGTGTGTGGGGGGGGGGGGGGGGGTGTGTGTGTGTGGGGTGGGGGTGTGTGGGGTGGGTGGGGGGGGTTGTGTGTAGGTGGGTGTTCCTTTTAAATAAAAAAAATAAAAGAGAGACAAAAGAGTTTGGAGTTGGAATTCTTCCGATTGTGTGGTTGTAGTGGGGGGTGTAGTGGGGTGTGGGGGGGGGGGGGGAGGATGCATAACAGGACACAGAGTAGTGTCTTGGGTGGGGAGGGAGGGAGGGTGGGAGGGAGGAGGTTATTTTTTGACATTGTCCTGGTGTGTGGAGGTGATACTCTGTGTCTGTGTCTCTGTCGCCTATTTTTCGCTACGTTTGTATCCCGTCTCTCTCTCTCTCTCTCTCTCTCTCTCACACTCACTCACTCTCTTGTCTTGTGAGGTCGAAAGGAGGATATTTTGACACCCTCATCCTCCCCCCACCTCCCTCTTCCCACCTCCCCATCTCTCTCTCTCTCTCTCTTCCCTCCTTCCCTTCTGCTCCTTATTTACTTGACTCTCGCGTCTTTGTGTCATTTCAGAGGCTTCGGTTTCGTTACGTTTGCCGACCCCGCAAGTGTCGATAAAGTGTTAGCTCAGCCCCATCACGAATTGGACTCGAAGACGGTATGTGTCTTGTTTCTCTTGTCGGTTTTTGCCTTCCTTCGGTGTGTCTTTTTTTTTAAAAAAAATCTGTAACGAACTAATCTTTTTTTTATTTATATATATTTATATAAAATCATATATGTGTGTGTGTGTATATATATGTATATGAAAAGGTCACTCGTTGCTTGTGCGTCTCACGGTATTAAGAGACAAACACATGCTGATGGGTATGTTTGTATGTGTGTGTGTGTATATATATATGTGTGTGTGTGTGGAGAAGAAAGATATAAAGACCGGTATTAATATTCCTGCAGTTAAACCTGTGGGGTCCCTTCAAATGTTGTATTTATCACCCCGTTTGCCCCAACCCGGAATCTCTTAGCTGTCAATTTCATGTCGTTATCGTATCGACGATCGAATCGCCTAGCGACCGATAGATAAATGGCCAGTTGCCCCGTTAAATGGAGCCTTGCGATTGCATGCTATCTGATTTCCTTTTCGGGGCAGTAGGGTGCAAAGATGAAAGAAAGGCAAACCGGTTGATCTGTATTTTTGGAACATACAATCTCGCCCTTCCCTCCAACACAGATGCCAGATTTTATTTTTACGGGTTAAAACAAAACAACTGATAACTGCAACTTTATTTAAACCAGAAAGTTTGTACTTTTTTTTAATTATAAAAAAGAGAGAGAAATCGAAGAGGACAGGCACAAGACCTGTGAGTTGTGACTGTGTTTCGCATGAATGAGAGTGCTCCTTGTTGACTATTTCTTTTGCATTTTGTGTCTTTAGCACCTGTTTGTAGTGTTCTGTCCCCTTCTGACTTTGTTCCAAGGTTCAGGGCAGCAAACCGATCGGTTGGGTATTCACATGGAAACGAAGCTGTTGTTTACACTTGCATTAAAGCATTGTTTAGGTAATGACAACCTGCATCAGAAACTAGTTTTAGTCACTTCTAGAAGAACTGTAGTTAGTGATTTCACACAAAAAAACACATCTAGTTAGACCTAACAGACTAATTTTATTTATTTTTTCATTTAATAGTTTTTTTTGTTGATAAATACCTAGTTTTAAAAATCTGGTCTGCAAAATAAAAAAATATTTTAGTCAGTTGCAAAAAAAAACCAACCTTGGTACGTAGCTAGTGTTTTTTTTTCTTCAATTACCTGCCTGGGAGGTTAGTTGTAGTTAGAGATTGCAGTTTCTAGATGAGAAATCTATCACTTTTTTCTTCTCTCCTTATACAAAATTAAAATTCTTTTAGGTGCGGAATCGGTTTCTCAGGCAACCTTCTACGACATTGGGTGAGATAATTAAAACTCCCACTGTTAATTCCGTTTGACAGACTGGATTAAATGTCTATAACCACAAGAGATGTCAAACTGCATAAAGGAGGTTAATGCTTTAATATTAAAACAACGAGTGGGAAAGAAAAAATAAAATCCACTGTGTGGGGTGTTTTAACTTGTGTTCAAAGAGATGCTTCAGTAAAAACTTTTTTTGGGGGAAAAATTGTAGTATTGACCTGTTTTAAACACTAGAAGGTGCACAATTATATTGTTTTGGTTTTCTAAAATAAGTATCCGAATCAATGATCTCCTTTTTTTNCCCCTTGGCCTGTGTTGGTCGCACTTCGAAACTGTCTGAAATCTTAAAATGAAAGCAAAGCTGTGTCCTCCGTGCTGCAGTTTAACTTGTGGTCTGCTTGGTCCTAAAAAGTGACTGATTTTAGTGACTAATCGTGTTGTTGAGAGAAAAAGATTTTCACACTTCTGTTGTCTGTTTTTTGACGACGTGTCAATAGTAAATCATTAAAATCGGTCGTCTTTTTTAAATATGGAAAAAAAATCGCAACTTCGATTGGAAAAGCCAGTGCTCAGGGAATGTTGGCCTGTAAATATTTTATAAAAATATATATATACATAAAATAAACAGGCGATGAGTGAATCATCCTGTGCTTTGTTTTGGTCGGCAGTGTTTGGGAGGAAAGAAATGACATGATTTGAGGGAGACAGACCGTGGAATTGCAAAAGATTTTTTCCCCATTGCCGTGCAGTCATATGACCGAGGCTGCAAAATAGCTGTAACTCATGAGGGAGCAAGAGTTTGTTGGGTGAGCCGGGGGGGGGGAGGGGGGGGGGGTCTCGAAGGCGAAGGTGGGAGAGAGGAGGAAATAGAAATAAGTGAGACAACTGGACCATGTGTTCTGGCTCTGCCGGCCATGCTGTGGCTGTGCTGGGGGGGGGGCAGCTCGAGGACTGGCTGCACAGGAGGTTATGAAGGAGGAGAATTCACACGGGTGACTTCACAGAGTGACTCCCGCACAGCCGATGCTCAGGTCCTAGTGACCTTTGTCTCCAGGGTTTTTTTTTTGAAGAGACGGATATTACTGAGAATTGGGATTCAACAGCAGCAGATGAGTGCCAATCGCGATGGGAGACCGTCCCAAGGCACTGTATTCAAAACTGGAGTCTTCTGGTACTGAGGGAACTGTTCACACTTATGTTGCGATTGCTTGTGTCGCTCTGCAATAGACACTTTTGTTTGTAACAAACTCAAACCTTTTTTGTTCGATACCCAACAACAACAAATTACATTTGTGTAGCGTCTTTCATGTCAGGAGGACGTCCCAAGACACATCCAAGCTACCATCGGCCTAATTTCTTTTGGGCCAGCGTCAGTCCCTCCTCCAACAGAGAATTGTAGGATTAGTTTTGAATAATATATAATTCCCCGCCCCCCCCACACCCCTTGGTTAAAGGATCCAGGTGTGCAGGGGGCAGCAGGGAGTGTTGAGACCGGTTGCCTAGTTGGAGGTACATAGGCTGATCTGTATTCTGATCTGATCTTCACTGGGGGTGGGGGGGGCAGCTGCGTTACACACACCGGTAGTTCGGTATCAATGGTTTCTGGTCTTGGTGGGGTGGCTATTGGAATTATTCCTTCGATAGTCAGGTGGATTTAATGGGGGAGGGAGGTGGTGGGGGGGAGGAAAACACTTAGGAAAGGGGCCTCAGTGGCTTGTGTGATTAGGCGAAGGTTGAACGTGTGGAGGGAGGCCAAGAGGAAAATAAAGAGATATTTAATCCCATGCCTTCATTCGGCAGTTGCTGTCAAAACGTCCGTCAAAGCAGGGCATGCATCTTCTATATAATAAAACAGGTCTCTTGAAAAATGGCTCCAATCAGACGAGAAATGAAACGAACATTGGTACCGAAGCGAGGTGTCAAACGCCTTTTCAAACTCCCAATTTAATATCATTGGAGAATGGAACAGATCCTGAATATCCCACCCACACACCCCACCCCACACCCTCCACCTTCCCATTCCTTTGTCAAGGTTTAGACGTTGCTGTAAGAATGTCTTTATTGCCTGAGAAACGCCACATTGATTATGAATGGCCAGAGACAGGGATGCGCCTGATCGTTTCCTTACCCATTCTCTGATTTGCTCCAACAGATTGACCCAAAGGTTGCATTTCCCCGAAGAGCACAGCCCAAGGTAAGTGGGAAGATCAATACAATGTTCCTCCCCTTTCTCCCCCTCCCCTCCCCCAATGCGTACATAGTAAGTCATTGTTATTGGATGATTGGGGGGAAAGCAGCCTAAGTTTGGGGCTAACAAAGGAGACTGTAATGAACATGCAGACAGTTGGTTGTTGCTATAGAGCCTGTGACGCTGCAAGAGAATCACTTTGTGTCCTACTTTACTGTTAATTTGCAACCCTAATGGTCGTACCTTCCTAATCCTAGTCTCGAGGTTTCTCAAGCATCTAACTCTCGAATGAGGCTGGTGGGTCGAGGGAAGGATTTTAATTTGTTGTCAGGGCGTATTATATAAGTTTTTTTTTCTTTTGCGGAAAGTAGAAGGCCATGTTTCTTCTTGATCTTGCTGAAATAGGATTACAACAGATGGATTAACGCTCGGTATTTAGCTTCATTAGTAGAGAGAGAGGGGTGGAGGAGGGAGGGGAGGAGAAAGCAGAGCTGGCCAGACAAGCAGTGTGTTGTGTAGTAATCCCCGCGTCTGTCCTTTGGAAATGGGCACTGCGGTGCTGGGCTTGAACTTTCCGCTGGCCTTAGACCTTCTGATTGAGAGGGTCAACATGTGGAGTTGCTTAACGCTGCTTTGCTTCTGAGCTGACAGGATATGAATGGGTCAGAGACAAATTATGTAGATTTCTGTCCCTCTCCCTGGGGCGGATTGCACTCGCTTCAGGACCTACTGGGGTAGCGTCTCGTTGTCAAAAGAGAAGGAGAATTAGCTTTGTGCGCGTGTGTGTTTTCACAAAGGGGAGGGGAGAATAAAGTAGATTGTTCATGCTCTTCCATCATCTTTCATAGTCTGGGGGGGGGGGGGGGTTAGTGACCTGCAGAGCTGTTCCTCTGCTAATGTGGGGGGGGATAAGATTCCCTCCTTGTGACTCCCTCCTTTTTTGTACCTTCCTCCTCCAACCCCCTCTAATAACATGGACATTATTGAAACCTTACTGTGTGCCAGAATCAGACACTCCTGCTTTGAAGGGAAACCACGCTGCCTGGAGGAGTCCAATCCTAGTTTTTGATGTGAAATTTTTTTTAAGTTGTTTTCGAGAACTAATGTCGCCCTCTTCCTGGGGACTGCCGCCCTCTCACTGCAGTGGTGTAGCCGTTTGTATCTGCATAGACCCCAGTCTGTACCCTCCCAGGTGGGGCTGTGTCAATACTGTGTACCATTGTCATTGTTGAATTCTGAAGCCTATGCACCCGAAAATCCTTTGAAGTGGATTTTGTTTTAAATTGCGCTTTGGAGAAGGAGTGTGTTCACCTGCCTCTTGATATAATGGGATAGTAATGAAAAAAACCTCATTGAACAGCGCTTGTGTGAATAGCAGCACAATTATGTGGAGCCAGAAATTGTTTAGCCTCACAGCAAACGCAGTCCGTGCTCCTTTGTGCGATCTCTAATGATATATAATCGAGCCAACTTTGGAGAGTGAACCAGCCTGTGTGCATGGTATCACTGAGGCCATGTGTAGTTCACTAGCTGTTATCTTGCCTGAGGATCAGGTAACTCTGCAAAGACTGGGGTGTGACTTTCTAACCTGTGCATCATTGAGTGCGTTGAGGATTCGTGTCGTGGGGAAAGGAGATGGTGATGGTGGTGGGAGGTGGATGATTAAAGCCAAAATAAACGGGTGGGAGTAAATCTGGTTCTTTTGAGGTGTGAGAGAAAGGGACTCTCAGAGAACCAGTAGGGTGCAGTGTTTTATTAGGTGTTTCTCTTTTCTGGCTCAATGCTTCACCTTTCCAGGAAAGGTTGTGACTGGGTAATTTAGGGAAAGCGAAACAAATCTGAGAAAGCAAGTGCTCTGGGACAGAGGTCACACCTTCTTTCCCCCGTACATTGAGAGGCTTGCTTTTATATTAGGGAACATTCTCATCCTGCTCCTCTTCCCTGGCCATATCCGTAGCTCTGCTCATGCCTCAGCCAGCCACCAGGGACGCCTGGCTCTCCCTCGTACTCTGTTGTTGTTGTACCCTCTCCCCTTAGCAAAGGCCTCAGTTTGTTGCTCGACAGCAGGTGAAATTAAGCTTAACCAAGGCTACTGTTAATGTAGAAAGAGGAGTAGGCTGTTCAGCCCCTCGAGCCTGTTACGCCATTCTACACGAACCATGGATGTTCTGTACCACAACTCCAATTTAAGTTTCCCCCCTCCCCATCATCACTCGTCTGGTCCCATACATGAACCATACCCATTTGGGTGAGGTACCACTGTCTGTGTGTCCTCGTGCCTTGTTTCCACACTTGTCAGCCAGCCTACTGCAGCACACACCACCACGCTCTTTAGCTTTGCTCGAATCGTCTCCTGCGTGCTGGAATATTTTGGCTTGCAAATTGGAGATTCTGCGACAGCCCACAGTCCCCTTTTTAAGTCTCACTTGAAACCCAGAAACGTTAGCAACAGGCTGCAGGAGCTGCTCCTTTGCCGATTGCATCCAATTTGCAGGTGTCTTGAAGATCCTTTAACAAGCGCACAAGTGTTTTTCGGCGCGAGTGTGATGTGCATTAAAAGGCTGTCAAATCATTTCAAATAAATGGGGTGATCTGGATGCATTAATAAGTCGGAGCAATAAACAGTGGAGAAGGAGTTTGGAGCGACTGAGCCTGTTCTGTACTGCGTGTAGTTAGCAGAGGAGCAAATCAACTCCCACAGAGGGGTTAGGTGGTGCATTTGTTCAGCAAAAGATTGTGCTTTGATTTACCCTGGAAGGTACTGTCGATGTACATCACCCCCCCCCCCCCAGTTTACACAAGGTCTACAACTGGCTCAGGTGCCCAATATAATAGAACTTAATATAATCTAATATGACACAATACAGTGAAAATAATTCTTGCATTTGATATCGCACATTATCTTATCATCGAGACGTCTCAAAGCACTTTGGGAAAGCCAATGTTACATAATGGAAATGTGGTGATTGCATAAATTTAGTTTGTTTGATTGACTGTGTGTGCGTGAGAGAGAGGGGGCGAACTGTTAAGATCTCACCATGGTTCAGTTCTTCCTCTTTTTCCCCCCACCCCAACCCAGTCATCTCGCTGGTTGGATGACGGATGCGTTATGTCACTGGGTTCTAGCTTTTTCCTCTGTGTCGTCGTTGTCTCTCCCCCCCACCCCCCCCACCCCCTCTCTCCTCACCCAGTTGTGTAGTCTGCCAGCACTCACTATCTGGTCATTCGCGGTGAGATGCTAGAAGGCACTGGGCACTCGAAGAAGCTTATCTGGAGGCGAAGAGAGGGAGAGAAAATTGGAAGTTGAAATGAAAATAAGCGAGCATTTCTTTGTTTTGATAATGATTTTACCTCTTCTGCTTGCTCGGAAATTTCTGGTGTAAATTTCTGTTGGGCTGTCAGCTTGTGAAGAGTCTAATCAGTATTGCCCTGGCACTGACTCATCTAGCTTACTGACTACTGAATGATTAGTGTGATTAAGCGCAGTCTGTGCAACAGCCGTGCTGGGCCCAAGTCCTTCACCTGAACAAACAGGACTTGCTGGACAACTCCCTGTATTGTATCCGCAGCTGAAAATAGCCTCAACCTCCAACCCCCTCCGCACTGCCAGCACCATCGCCATCATCACCATACCTTTTCTGCTTTCACTCACCCCTACCCTTTTGCACAAGGTACACGAAAGGTTAAAGAATAGGCACCACACGTTGACACTTGTCAACTGTGGCTATGACTATACGTGAAGTGCTGTTTCTCCATCTCTGTCTGTCTCTCTCTGTCTGTCTCTTCTGGGCATGAGCGCCGTTCCACCAACTTCGTCGTGTGATGCAGTTGAAGTTGTGGGCATTTGTTCTTCTCACGCTGCTGTTTCAGTCAAAGAGCAGTTCGCTTAGCCGGAGCCGTGCTTTAGTCCTAATCCTTCAATTCCCCCAGAGTCACCTCCTGTGACCCAACAGCAACAACAACATGCATTTATTTAACGCCCCTCACACAGGGTAGAGTCCCCTTTTTTCAAATTATGCCACGGGTCTGTTTAACGTCCACCTGATCAGGCAAACTGGGTTTAGCGTGACAGCTGACAGTACGGCACACAAAAACGACCTGTTTTTTCTGGATCGAAAAGTTCCCTTTGCCGGACGGGACACAAGTGCAGAAGGCTGGAGCCTTGCTTCACGCTGCCTTTATTTTAATGCTCACCCGGCAGAATGTTATACATTCTGAAGTGATGCTCTGCTCCTTCTCCCCCTCGCGGCTGACCTCTGTGCCTCCCTCGCTGCATCAGCTCCAGGCAGTTCTTGTCTAATTCTGCTCTTGTTCCCAATCACGCCTGTTGGGAATGGAGGGGTGTGCGTTGTCGCGGTGTGACGTAGAGGCCAGGTGTTATCGACATGCAACAGTGGGTGGGTGCGTGGGGGGAGTTGCTGTGAAGACCACAAGTTGGTTCAGCACCACCCAAGTGGAACCAAATATTGTTTGGTTTGGAAACTCTTCTATGTGGCGATGGGTTTCCGCTTGTGTCGAGGCCAACGGCTGAGCAAAAGAAAAAGGTTCCTCTCGTGGGTGAAAATCAGATCAGGGAGGACAACGATCACAGGCCGCGATTTCTCTGGCTCATCTGAGGACTGGGGACCAAAACACTCGGCCTCTCGGGGTTCCGGTGCACGAGGCATCAAGGCTTCCAGTAAATGGGTGGGGTCCCCCCCACCCTGACACACGGCAACCATAGAAATTTACGGCACAGAAGGAAGCCACTTGGCCCATCGTGCCTAGGCCGGCTCTTTTAGAGGACAATCTCGTTTGCCTGTCTTTCCCACTCCTTATTCCTGTAGTCCACTCCTTCTCAGACTTGTAACCGATGAGCTCATAGCTTCACCAGTGCCCTGGATCCACTGAAATGTTTGTGCAGACATTGTCCGGCTGCACTTTTTGTCTGTCTGTCCGTCTGGCAGTCAGAGCTGGCTCTTCTCACTGAGGGTCCCACTACAACCCCCGATCAGACCCTTCGGTGC